ATGGCAACAAAGCACGAGCCGCGAACGAGTCCCCAGCACTTCATCAAGCAGGAACACGAGGTGGGGAGAGGCAGACTGCGGGAGGTTTCCGAGGACAAGGATGCCGACATCATGGACGATGACGGAGCTGACGGAGATGAAGGAAAAGCCGGTTCCTCCAACTCGGACGGTGGTCCTGCGAGGAAAAGACGGAGGAGTCGCAAAGGCTTGGACAAAAAGTTTGAATGTCCTCAAGAGGGCTGTGGAAAGAGCTACTCCAGAGCCGAGCACTTGTACGTGGCAACGTGTAAGGTCGACGCCTTACTTGACTAACAATTTTTTAGGTATCGTCACCAGCTCAACCACACGCCCAAGCAGATATATGCCTGTGACTTTCCTGATTGCAGTCGCACTTTTGTTCGGCTTGATCTGTGTAACCGCCATAGAGACCGTCACACGGCCAAAGGGTCTGCACTGAATCGTAAGGACTCGATGATGAGCCATATTTCCCCTACTACGGACCGTCCGCCTTTCCCACTCCCTGGGTCTGCTTCGCCCGAGATTAGTCGGCCGGGTACCGGCTTCGCCAACATGCGGCAAGCCCAAATGCAATATCATTCCCCCAAAGATGTATCTGCTAGTCCGTTTATTCAGGCAACAAACACGCCACCGGGATACCCAATAGGTGTCCACCCTGGTGGAATGGACGGCTACATGCATCACGACAATGGGTACGGAGGCGTTCAGGCGCATCGCCCCCCGCAACAGTCCCCGAGCGGACCAAGGCCGACTGGACAAACCAACGGGTCTTACATGTCCCCAGTTGCCAATCCACACGGCTACCACAACCAAGCGCACAATACCCCTCAGTCTGCAACTTACACCACGCAGCAAAACTTCCCGCAGTTTAATCTGCCGCCCTCCGACTTCTCCAACGGCACGGGTAGCGTACCCCGTGAGGGCCAAACGTACGCACCGACCACTTCGGCCGAGTACAGTGAACAGGGTCATCCCCAGCAGTCGGGTGAGATGATGCTTCTCGATCAGATGTCCATGCCTGGGACAATCCCCGTTTTCGGGAGCGACAGTATCCTGAGCAAATCGCCATATGTCACGATTCCAGAAGACTTCGTCGCCTACCTCTTCAACACGCAACAGGGTGAAGGCTCACCCATGGGCCAGATGGTGGCTCCCGGGTACGTTAACAAGTTGGTTCTGCCTTCGTTTTGGCATAAGCTCCGCTAACAATTTTGCAGCTACGGAGAGTACCAGAATCCCTACAGCGTCCCTTATGTGGGAACAGAGGGTGTTCCCATGGGGTACTTCCCCTCAGGCCCCCATCAGGTCATGGCTGTCAACAACCTGCTTGACCAAAACCTCCCAGAGGCTACGATATCCGAGGAGAAAAGCCAAGAGATTTACGACTTCATCAACCAGAGGTTCCACGAAAACGATCAGGCTCCGGCGCTGCGGCAGCGGGATAGCATCTTGGAGGGCGATCGTAGCGACGGAGATCACATGCTGAGCAAGCGGATGATGCAGGCGTACATCGGCTCGTACTGGGTCCATTTCAGTGACCAGATTCCTATCCTTCACAAGCCGACATTCTCGCCTGATAGGACCCCGAATCTGCTTCTTCTAGCAATGATGACGATCGGTGCGGCATGTCTGGACAAGACACACGGCCAGAAAGTCACAAAGGCCGGCGCGCAGCTGTCCAACTTCCTGGCCTGGCACCTGAGGTGGGAGATTTTTATGGACCCAAATTTCAGGCCGCCGGCAAAGTTGTGGCTGTTTCAAACACTTCTACTTCTCGAGCTGTATGAAAAGATGTACTCAACCAGAGAATTGCACGAGAGAGCCCATATCCATCACGCAACCACAATCACCCTAATGCGCCGCGGAAGGTCGCTCATTGGCAAATCATCTCTCGACTCGCCACCCAACCCTAGGGACGACAAGACGAACAGCTCGCGCCATTCCTCGGCATCCGGCGTGGCTCATACTGCAGATGAGTGGTGGAACCACTGGATCACCAACGAGTCGACACGACGAGCTGCCTTTGCTGCTTTCGTCATTGACTCCATCCACGCTACCATGTTTGGGCACTCTACGGTCATGGTCACGCACGAAATGAGACTGCCACTACCCTGCGATGAGGCTTTGTGGAAAGCTACAAGCGGTGCGGAAGTTGGCAGAGTCGAGTCTAATCTCCTGTCTAACGGTGTCAAGCCGATCTCCTTCCTGGAGGGCCTAAAACGAACGCTCAGTGGTCAAGGCGTACAGACTAATCCCTTCGGCCGTATGGTTCTCATGGCCGGTCTTCTCAGCGTGAGCTGGCACATGAATCAAAGAGACCTCCAGGTCAACGTTCTTGGCGGCGGCGTGTCTCAGGCACTGGGCGGCAGAGACAAATGGCGGGGAACACTGACCAGGGCCTTCGACGCTTGGAAGGAGGACTTCGACAAGTCCCTCACAAGGACAGAAGGCTCTTCTGATCCATACCGCTACGACTCGGCAAAGAAGAATGACGCCAACGTCGTCTTCGAAAGCCGTACGGTGTTGCATCATCTTGCACACATGGCAATGCATGTTGACATTGTCGACTGCCAGATCTTTGCCAGGGCAAAGCGACTTCTAGGACGAGCCATTGGGCAGCAAGATCTCAATAGCGCACAGCGAAGGATGAAGGATCTTTGGGCGCCATCCGCCAAAGCTCGAGACGCTACCTTTTATGCTCTCAAGTTCATCAGCTCTGTTCTTATACCCGATGGAGGCCATTCTCACCAGCCCAACGGCTACAAGTATGATGAGCCATACACTGCGCGAGACGATGTACTCCTCAACAGGCCTTGGGTCCTGTACTTTGCTGCCCTTGTCGTATGGTGTTATGGGTTCGCCCTAGAAGGTCCCTGTCCCGAGGTCCCGCTGCCGACATCCAAGCAGGAGCAGTCACGCCAAATGCGAGAGTATCTAATGAAATATGGCGGCGCATCCTCGCCAGACGAGCTAAAAACTATGAAGGGCATCAACACGAACACAGCGATGCTGCTAGTTCTCAAGGACTCATTCGAAACCACTCGGTGGGAGCTGTTGCACGAGGGCGCCAATCTGCTCAGCAATTGTCTCCAGTTGAATGCTGGAGCTACTACGATGTAATTGGCGAGCTGCCGGATAATGAACAAACTGCCTTTCCAGAGCCGTTGTTATAGCGGCTCATACTTGGTAATGGCACGACTGATTGACGACGAAGGGATTTGACTTTAAACATTATACCAATCTTGCGATTGCATGACGGGAGGATCAGAGCCTCAGACGATAACTTCGAATGACTGGGAGCCAATGCGGAATTTCAACCTGTGCATCTTTCTTTTATGTGCTGTATTGTATCTATACCCCCATGATGCGCGCCTTACTGCAGCGCTATGGATTATTCGTGACATGGCAGCATTAGCGCTGAGACGGGAAAAGTCGGGTCTCGAAGAGAGTACATTGATGAATATTTTTACCTCATCACACCTCATGTTCTGTTGCCCAGATGTGGCGTCTTTCGACACCATTCCGCTTCAAATCCGTCGTGATAGACGGCCCGTAACCCACAATGAAAACAAGGCGGATGGAACGTGGGGTGTCCTAGGAATTGGAAATCCCACCTATCCGAATCCAAGTCAGTGAAGAAGCCTTGGCCTGAGGTGTTTGCCAAGTAAAGGGGTAACGTGGTGCATGGCCAAAAGCACCCTTGACCGCTGACCTCTCTCTGTGTCTCGCTCTTCACTGGGTAATTCGAATACTTTAATTTAGGCTCTTTTCGGAGGATCTTTGTCTCCACAGGCCGGCGTGTGTACATTAGAGAGCACGCTGCTATTGGAGTGTGACAGCTCTTGTGCCCCTCTCATCTTTTCTCTCTAAGAGGAAACGAGACCCACGTGGCTCAGGAGTTGGCTCTGCTTCACAATGCAGACGCGGATAGTGAAGACAGTGAGTTTAGGATTATAGGACAGTGGAGATGGAGATGATGATGATGAAGAATAAGGTCTATGTCTGAATTTGGCCGATAAATCAAGTGTCAAATGTATCTACCCATATACCGTGCGCGATAGGTAAAGTGCAACGTGCTGATGCCAGTGGCTGATATCAGCACCATTTCAAACAAGTTCGGCAGTGATGCATCATGACCATTGTCAACTCATTGCTGTCTGTCAAGAACAGCCGATATCTCCCCGTGGCCCGCGAGTTGAAGTTGTGGGTCGCATGCTCCGCCTCCGTAGACTTTATTCTCCGGACCCGGCTCCGATGTATGCGGGGCTAGTTTTTCGATAGCGCCTTTTTAGTGACATTCTTCACCTTACGTCATGATGACTTGCGGGGGGCTTTGAGTGATTTTGTGGAGAAGGCTTGTGAGCGGTTTACATTACCAGGAGAACCAGTTGGACGGCACATTCGGAACGGAGGAACTGCTGTGCTACCTCAGACTGCGTGAGAAGAGCACAGGTACCGGTAGCCCAACCCAGCGGGCGAACCGTGAAAGGCATGGAACGCATGAGCTTACCTCACCCAGCGCCCCCCGTCATCTGCACCGCGCTGATACGTCGGAGCTTGCACTCCTACCTCCGGGATTTACCAAGTGCAGAGCTTCACGAATCGCGGCGGTACCCACACACGCCCGCGCGCACTCTCTCCCTGCTTTACGGTTTGCCCAAGGTGCCTTACACAGTAATCCCCGCACGAACAGTGCATGTGGTCCGCGTGGAGTTTGCGTGTGGTGACCAACCGGATAGACGACGTAAGTTTAAGCTTCCGTTCCGCTGGTTGCCTTACCTATCCCTCCCACCTTCTTACCAAACAAGCCTACTCCAAGAAACGTTCCTCCGTTGACTAAACCCCTCGTTCAAATCTTGTTCCCCAAACCATTCACACCGTTTCAACGACGCTCTCTCTCTCTCTCTGTCTCTCTCTGACCTGTAGACGCAAACTCAAGACCGCGCCGCCCTATGAGCGTTCACCCCCACAGTCATCGTCAAATGGGTGACTCTGTCGGGGCGTCGTCATCGCCCAAGATGCCGCTGCTGCATATCAACCTGCTGCCGGCGGAGATCCTCCATCACATATTCTCGGGCCTCGAGCCCCGCGACCTCGGACGTCTCCCCCGCACATGTCGATTTCTGCACACCTATGTGAAAGGAAACCAGAAACTTTGCAAGGACGTGTATCTGAAGGTCCTGGTATGATCTCTCCCCTATTTGGTGTTCGCATTGGGGAGTAAAATAGAAGGTATTGAATGGGAAATCTAATTCGCGATTTGAACAGGACACACCTGCACAGACTGATTTGGACTGGGAGAGAGAACTACACGATTTCGTGAGACTCGGCCTCGTTTGCGCCGGAGATAAAGCGAGCGACAAGGTAAGAGAAAACAAAAGCCCACTCCATGAGCGCAAGAGATAGAAGAGAGATAGAGAGAGAGAGCATCTGGTCTTACCCGCGCCGCGCCCCTTAGTCCCGCGAACTCCTCCCATTCGTATCCGACGTCGTCAACAGACTGCTGAAACATGCGTCCCCGACGGGCGAGACGCAAAACGACACGGGGACCCACGCCGTATCCCGCAACGCCGCCGCCCTGGCCGCCATCTTCCGTGAGGAGCCCGCGCGGGTGGCCTTCCTGTGCCGCTCCTTCATTTTTGACCGCGCGCGCGGCGAGGCACCGCGCCCGATGAACCGCCGCCCGCGACCGTCGTCGTCGTCCTCCTCCTCTGCTGCCATGACGGACTCCAACTCGGACACCGACGACGTCCACCAGCAGAGCGCCAAACTCCACTGCATGTACGGGCGTCCGATCCTCAACTTTGGCCGCACGCGGTCGTCGCGCGTGTACCCCTACGCCGCGTCAAAAGTGTACGACATGCGACAGAACACGACGCGCACGAAATGGGGCCCGTTCCGGGACGACGATTCTGGGAGGGTGGACTGGGAAAAGGTCGAGGCCATCATGGTTGTGCTGGGGAGCAACATCAAGTCGCAGCGGCTGACGGCCAAGGTGTTTTCCAACCTGTGGGAGCGGCCGTTTGCGGGTTCGTGGTCGGGGAGTTATCTGCCGTCCCCAAGTCGGGGGATCCGGGACCTGGATCTTTTGGATCCCTACAGTGTTGCTGGGACGTGGCTGAGGGTGGTGTGCTTCATCGATTACAACGACTTTTTCAGCTACAACTTTGCCATTGGCGACCAGACGCCCGCCGAGGTTCCGCGGCCCGCGCTCGACGTTGGGGAGGCGACTCGTATTATTTTGATGAAGGTGCACGTCACCGACATTCAGCCCCCGGGCGAGGACGACGGAAAGGAACTGCCTGTGGTGCACTTTTACGGCATCTCTCGCTCAGTCGACGACTCGTGGGACGAGAATGCCAATTCCAACCTCCGTGGTAAGTCTCCTTTGGAAGAAGCCCCAGTAAGACCTGCCGGCGAGGCTAGTGAGGAAGGGGGTTTTTGTTTTGTTTTGTTTGGTAATTCAACTTAACCTAATTAGCAGTCAAAGGCACGGTGCGAATGACCAAGGAGGGCGAGGTGAGGTGGACGACCTTCTCCGTCTTCAACGGCCACGCGCGGTGGCGGAGCGAAGGAGTCCAGCTCGGCGGCGTCAGGTCGGCTCGAGGCGTCATGGGACACTGGTTTGATACGTACGTCACATCCCCTCCCCCCTTTTTTCATCCTTCCTACAGAAGGAGAGAAAATTCTCAGGACGAGAGGGTTCTGGCTTACCACCGGGAGTTACAATAGAGACTACGACCCCCACGGACCTTGCGGGCCCAGCGCTTACTTCAAGGTGTCCGACCGGGCCCCGAATCCCAAGGAGGGCGACGACAAGAAGATTGACATTCACGATTTCCTGCCCATCATGGACTTTGACGCGGAGCTGGCCAGCAACGATGATGATGACGAGGACTTTGTGGTGGGTGAGTGGGGGGAGGACGACGACGACGACGGGGAGATTGACGACGAGGAGCTGGTGGAGGACCTGGCGGCGTTGGCGGCGCCGGATATCGAGATTATGGATCTTGTACTTAACGGACATCACCTTATAGATCAGTGAAGGGGGGTTTTGGTTTACAACACGGGGGGGGGGGGGGGGGGGGGGGGGGGGGGGGCGGGGGGGGGGGGGGTGGGGGGGCGGGGGGAGGCGGGGGGAGGGGGGGGGGGGGGGTGGTGGTGGTGTGGGGGGTGGGGGGGGGGTGGAGTTCAGGTATTGGGTCTCTTTTTGGGTGTATCTGTTCTAGCTATGTGTAACGTTTACAATTGTGTGCGACGTGTTGGTAAAAGATCTCGGATGTTTACTCGACATCTTTCTCTTACTCCTACAGTTTTGTTTCTCAAGAAAAAGAGGAAATTTTTTTTAAAAAAAAAATCACAGCTTGCTCACGGGCGGATCGGTATTGAACTTGTGGTGCTCGCACGTGGCCAGCACTACGCCATCACTCCTCCTCTTGAGGGTACCCCTGAGCTGGCACAGCGTCTTGCCAATCTGGACAATTTCGCACTCGACGAGGCACTCTTCTCCGCTGGGGGCCGGGCGGAGGTAGCTGCAGTTGAGGGTGCGGGAGACGCCGAGGAACTGCCAGAAGCCCGGCTTGTCGTTGACGAGGGCCAGGGGCATGGTGGTGAGGGAGTCGAAGAGGGTGGCGGCGGCGCCGCCGTGGAGGTTGCCGCCGCGGTTGCAGTGGTCCGGCTGGACGGTGAAGGCGAAGGTGGCGCGCGGGGTGGGCTCCAGGGAGGTGGAGAGGAGGGTTATGGAGGGGGTGAGGGCGCCCATCCAGTTCTGTTTTGAGGTTTCACTCTCGTGTTAGCTGGGTTTGTATGCATGTGTTGTTTGCTTGATTGTAGGCGAAGGGAGGGAGGTGACGCACGCCGAACTTGAAGTTGCCTGCGTCGTCCTTGTCTAGGTCGAGCCAGGCTTGTATGCGTTCGTCGCCTGGCTTGGCTTCAAAGACGGACTTGAACTGCGACGGGACGCCCTTGGCCATGGTGAGTAAGTGAGGAGTGAGTGAGATGAATGAGTTGGTGGTATTTGACGCTGACAGCTTGGTTGGCGGCTACCTGGTAAGGTAGTGGCAGAAAGCTAAACACGATGGAGAGTATGAGGGTATAATACAAGTCGTCGACTTGAAAGATCACTTCTTCAATAACGATAAAATTTGAATCTTTCGTGAAAACAAATGAGTTGTCGCAACGATGTTGCGGTCTTCAATGAGTTCGGTTGGGGATCCGAATGAGATACCTTTTCTGAGGTACCCTCCCTCTTCCGCAGCAGAGCTGGCGGCCCCGCGGGTTGCTGGCTTCCCCGGGTTCTTGGTCCCTACCTATCTTCGGCACGCTAGTGGAACTGCCTCGGCAAATCCCTTCGGTACGCTCAACCTCCCACTTCTGACAAACCAACCGCCGACGATAAGATACCAGACCTGGAGACTTCCGTCACCAATCCACACCTGAGCCGTCATCGCGATGCCCAGATAACCCGCATCTCCTTTTCGCATCTGCGCAATACCATTGAGGGACTCGTCATCACATTGACTCGATGCCCGCCCGCCCTCGCCCACCATGGAGTTCATGACCGCCCTCCGGGGCTCCTTTGACGACCAGAAACCCTCCCTCTTCGAGCTCATCTCCGAACAGCAGCTCAACTCCCTGCTCCCGCCGACCATCCGCTACCTCCTCACCGTCGCGACCCAACGATACCCGCGCTACCTCCTGCGCGCCCTCAACTCCTATGATGAGCTCTACGCTATGCTGATGCTCCTCGTCGAGCGCCACTACCTAAAGACCCGCGGCGGCAGCTTCACCGAGAACTTTTACGGCCTGAAGCGCGAAAAGGCCCTGCACGCCGAGATCCCGCGCGCCAGCGCCTCCGCGCCCGGCATCGTCCGGGATACGCTGAAGCTCAGGACAAAGGACGTGTGGATGAACCTCGCCGTCGCGGTCGGCGTCCCCTACCTGCAGAGGAAGCTCGACGAGGGCTACGAGGTGAACGCGCCGCGGGCGCTGCTCGGCGCCGCCTACACCCAGATGCCGCCGAATCCGACGCTGAAGCAGCGCTTCCTGCACTACTACCGCTGGTTCCTGCGCAACATTTACCCGAGCGTCAACGCGGCCTACTACTTTGCGCTGCTCTCCTTTAACCTGGCCTACCTGTTCGACAACAGCAAGTACCACAACCCGTTTCTATGGCTCATCGGGACCCGCATGAGGAGGATGACGGGCGCCGATTACCAGGCCATTGACGCGCTTACGAGCGGCGGCAAGGCGACGGGCAAGGCCGGCGCTCCCCCCGGGTGGCGGTCCCTTTTCTCCCCGCGCCAGATGGGCCCGCGTCTGCTCTCCAGCCTGTCCTTGCTGCTGCCCATGAGCATCTTTGCGCTCAAGTTTCTCGAGTGGTGGCACGCATCGGACTTTGCCAAGCAGCTGTCGCGCAAGGCGTCCGAGACGCTGGATCTCCCGCCCCCCGTGGTCTCGGGCTTGGGAGGCGGCAAGGGAGGAAGAGGAGGTGCAGGTGCCAAGAGCGGTGCTGACAAGGACAAGGCCAAGGGGAAGGAGAAGGCGGTTAGCGGTGACGATGTGTCGGCGGACGCGGCTGTTCCGGCTGCTGAGACGGCGCCTATCGCGACACCTTCGCTTCTGCCCATCTACACGGTGTCTGCGCCCGAGGACTCGGCCTTGTGCCCAATCTGCGAGGACCCCATCGTCACGCCGACGGCATGTCAGACGGGCATTGTGTACTGCTACACGTGCATTCACCGCTGGGTGGAGGGTTTGCATCCCATGCAGGAAGATTTCATGGGAGACAAGGAGGGCAAGTGGGAGAGCGGACAGGGGCGGTGTGCGGTCACTGGCCGACGCGTTCTGGGAGGCACGGAGGGGTTGAGGAGGATCATGGTGTAAGACTAGCACAGCTATCGATCGAGGCAATTGGGTCAGTAGGTATGAAGTTATGCCAACGAGAAAAGCCGGGGTGTGCAATTGATGGGAGAGGGATTGCTTAAAAGTGGTGTGGACATAAGCCGAAAAAAGGCCACGGCGTTTGGTGTTACGAACTTGACTTTTTTCTTCTCCGTAGGCCATACTCCATATACACGACACGAATAATATACCCACTCATGATCTAGAGCATCTCTGTCTTTTTTTTTTTCTCCTTCTGACTACTTTTTTCTGGTTCTGAGAACTTGGAGGCGGAAAACCGATGGAAGCAAGGGTCGGACTTGAAGAATGCGGGACTGGGCTACCTCCACCGATGGGAATGGAGGGGGGGGGGGACGTGGCCATCACACGCATTTGGCGTGTCTCACGCCGGGAGTGAGGTCCCATGCCGAATCCCTTTCTTCACGGGCCTGTCCTCTGGTGCGGCGACTGGTATTCGATAAAACTTTTTCGGGAACATCTCTATTGGGTTTCACGTTTTTCCTTCCCCTCACTCCTTGTCCTTCTCTTTTTCTAGGCGGCAACTCCTGTCTCGCCGTCAAGATGTCTCGGTCTGCAGAGTCCTCCCACGCTCGGGGGTTTTTTTTGAGGAGGCTGCTTTGCCTGAAAGCTAGCGATGCTGCATTCCTCTTCTTTCCCTTCTTCCTCGTCGACCTTTCTTTTTCCTTTTTTTTTTTTTCTCCTCACGCCTACTGTTGGGGTGGGCCTTGTGTGGTTGGTTCTCGAAATGGATTAACTGGTCATTTCATTCTCTGTCCATTCCCGCCAGACCGGTCTAGCTTGCTTGTCATTTCGGTCTCTGTCTCTTCCGACTGGAGGTAGATTCGTCTGAGCGGCTACTCTCTCTGTGGAGAAGCACACGTCACCTACTCTAGACGAGGGTCCTCGAGAAGGAGGCTGGGAGGGATATTAGTCTTGAGATCCTTGAGGCTTGGGAAGGCCTTAGTCAGATGGCGGTTGGGCGTCGCATTCCTCTCCGGATGTGAGGGTGCGATGATGGTGTGGTCTCATGTGGAGGAGAGGACTCGCTTCGGGTTAACACCCATTCGTTGAGGTTCGCGTTTTGGTGATGTTGTGCCTGGATCAGGCCCCAGGATCAGTCGCAAGGGAGATGTCGAGGGCAAAGGGTTATAAGGAACCACCCCTCCAAAGGTCTCACGACTTTGGTTTCCTCGATCATCGACCGAGTTGTGGCGTTTCTCTCCTTCTCTCTCTGTTATCTGAATCAACCAGAGTCTTTCGTTGTGTGTGTGTGTGTGCCCATCGGGTTCCGATCATTGATCACTGACAACACCCTCCCTTTCGCTGATATCCTCAAGAGTTGTTCGTGGGTGGTGGTTAGTAACACGTTCCCTTTGGTCTGGTTTTCGCGACAAAAGACAAGGCAAGCTCGAGAAGAATATACGAAAGGAGTTGGAAGAGAAGTAGAGAAGAACAAGAAGAGGGAGAAGGCCAAGATGGCATACAGCTTGTCGCAGTCGTACTTTGGGGCGAACCTGATTTCTGACTTCAACTTCATCAACTATCCGGACCCGTCCAACGGCTTCGTAAGGTATGTTCTTACTATTCATAGATGTCGGCCTCGAACCTGCCATCGTCCGAAAGGGCTGGAAACAGATGAGCTGACGGCAAGGATGGCCGGATATCAGGTACCAAAGCCAGCCCGATGCCCTCGCAAAGGGCCTGTACTTTATCGACCCGGACACGCAGGCCGTGACACTGGGTGTGGACAACAAGAACACGTACAATCTCAGCGATGGACGGCCGAGCTTGAGGCTGGAGAGCAAGGAGCAGTACAATCATGGACTGTTTATTGGGGATTTTGCGCATATGCCGCCGTCGGTTTGTGGGTTGTGGCCTGCGTGTAAGTCGCCCCTCCTTCTTTTTGGTGTCTCCATCTTCCCGAGTCTTGAGGATAATAGACTCTGGGAAGTATTTTTAATTACCTTTTGGCCCTCTAGCTGACACTGAGACGGATAGTCTGGATGTATGGACCAGACTGGCCTACTAGCGGGGAGATTGACATTATTGAGGGTGCGAACCAGGCTACCAAGAACATCATCTCCGGACACTCGTGCGTCTATCCCGTGCCCATTCCATCTACAAGCTCGAGTCTAACATGAAAACTAGTACATCAGGATGTCGTATCCCAGACGACCCGGCAGCCGCCGGCCAACCTCTCCTCCTCAACTGCGAAAGCCCAGGGGTGCGTAGTTTCTCAACGGAGCACCCGCCACCTCCCCCTTCGTCCTTTCATAATGTGAACACGCCTCCTCGCTGACAATATCCTGGAACAGACAACCAACAATGCCGGCTGCAATTACCTGCCCCCGGCCTCGGACATGCACACCTACGGAGACTCCTTCAACGCCGTAGGCGGCGGCGTCTACGCGCTCGAGTGGACCTCGGAGGCCATTAGCATCTGGCACTGGCCGCGGCAGAGCATCCCTGAGGATATCGTCGCCAAGAACCCGGATCCGTCTGGCTGGGGCCTGCCGACTGCGCTGTTTGGGACGTCCACGTGTAATGTGGACACCTACTTTAAGGATATGAGCATTGTAATTCAGACGGTGAGTTGCGATGTACGGCTGAGAGATGAGGCTTGGTGCTGTGTTGCAAGGCTTTGTTCCTCGAGCCATTACAAGTCCACTGATATGAGACGCACAGAATTTCTGCGGTGATTATGCAGGCAACATTTGGGGTCAGGACGGAGATACCTGCAACCAGCGAGCGCCCACATGCGTTGAATACGTGGCAAATAATCCCACCGCATTCGCGAACGCGTGAGTTATTCAACCCTCTCAAAGAACGGCACCGTGACGTCCCCGGAATCTGACAAGAAAAAAGGTACTGGGAGGTCAACTACATTGACGTCTACGAGCAAGGCCTCGTCGCCAACAACACTGGCCCCGCCGAGCCGACAACGACGACGACGATCAAGTCCACGTCGACAATCTACACCACGGTCCCGAATCCGGCCACCATCGTGACGAGCATCACGCAAAACGGCACCGTCCTCGTCTCCACCACCACAGTCCAGTCCCAGCCCCAGTCGTCCGTTGTCCTGTCCACCGTCGTGGGGCCCACGGCCACCGCGCCGCCGAGCCCCTCGACCGACCCCCTGGTCCCCGAGCGCGAGCCGGCGACCATCGGGGAGTACGCGTACCTCGGCTGTTTCGGCTCCGCGACGGGATTCCAGACGTTCTCGCCCAAGGCCTCGGCGGCGGACATGACGCTGGAGAAGTGTGTTGATCTGTGCCGGCCTGGAAAATATGCTGGTGTCCGCGAAAGGTGACGTTTCTCGGTTTTTTCCCTTGTTCGTCTTCCCTCTCACTAACACATCCCTCTCAGCGAATGCTTCTGCGCAGACAACCTCGACCCAGATACCCGGGCTACTGCAGATCGCGCTCTCTGCAACAGCCCCTGCCCAGGCAACAACACCGAACTCTGCGGCGGCACCACCACCACCAACACCAACACCTCCGGCAGCACAGCAGGCATCGCGCTGGCGACATCACCCTCACGCCGCCTCATGCACCTGCACCTCCACCGCCGCGCCGCGCCCGCAACCTACCTCCTGACAGTCTACGGCCGCCTCGCAGCGGAAGTGCCCCCCAACGCCCCGCCGCTCGGCGACCCGGAGCCCCACGCGCCCTCCACCTCGACGCTGGTGACGACGGTGACCTACACGACCGTCTGCGCGACCGACGCGGCGCGCCTCACGCCCGCGGAGCACTCCACGACGATCCTGGTGCTCGAGTGCAACAAGTACTGCGGCGACGGGCAGCCTGCGGCCGTGAGCGTGCCGATGACGACGACGGTGGCTTCGTGCGCCGGGTGTGGTGCCGACGGGGCGGATCGGGTTACGCTCACGGTGCCGTTCTTAATCTTTGCGGTGCCGGTTACGGCGTCCGGGACGGCGACGGGGTATTGGCCTACTAGCGGCGGCGGCGGCGGATCGGCGACTGCCGCGGTGACACCTCCGGCGGGCGGCGGGCCGACCGGTGGACCCACTCCGTCCATGGTCTCCGTTAGCGCGGCATCCGCGTCGGAGGTGAACTTTACGTGGGCCGTCGGCTTGGGGGTTGCGATTGCGTTGGTTCGGTTTGCGTTGATGTTTTTCTGATGAGGGGTTTTTTTGCATCGAAAAGACGAATCGGTGGGCTGGTTCCCGGTGCATAGTGGCGGCGCATTTGGTCTCTCTCATTCTGGTTCTTTCGTTTTTTTCCTTCTTTCTCTTTCACCACACGTTCATTAGCATAGACATTGCCATGATACCACACCAGCGCAACGGGCGCATTTGCCTCACTACCTTGGAAGCAGTTGTTCTACAAAATAAATGACACGAAATAAATTACTACTATTACAAGTCCACCACCTCCACCGGATTCCCGAGCCGCCCCGTGTTGCCGTACATTTGCGCGGCGTTGACCATGAGACTGCTGGTGTTGCCGCCGGGCCCGACCATGAGCCACTTCCACACGACGCCGTGCACGCCGTAGCCCAGGACGGCGAACGCGTCCCTCCAGCCGGCGTGCGGGAAGAGGTCACGGACGAGGCCGCGGGGCCGTCGGGACATGAGGGCTTCGTAGGCGCGCTGGCACTCGTCAAAGTGGACGGTCTGGCGTCCGTGGCCCCAGTGGACGTGGCCAAAGACGTGGAGCTTTGGGCGGACGCGCCAAACTTCTTGGAGGAGGCCCGGGCAGCCTAGGCCTAGGTCTAGGTGGTTTTTCTGTTTTGTGTGTAAGTGAGTGAGATGAAATGAGACAGAATAGGATTTTGACTGACTGGTGGTGTGTGAGTGATCAAAATATCGGTGTCGATTGGTACCGTATTGGTCCAGGGCGGTGATGAGCGATCATACTGGAAAGCCATCTCTGAGCCGCCGCAGGCCGGGATGTCGGGGGCGCCGTATATCTTGAACTGCCGGCCGCCCTTGAACTCCAAGGTGACGGCATCGTGGATCAGGTAGCGGATATCCTTGAAGTCGAGGTTCTTGCCGCGGTCCTCGGGCAGACGGGCACTGGGGTCGAAAAAGCTATCGTGGTTGCCGCAGACCAGGATCTTGTGCTGGTGGGGTTGGGCGGCGAGCCAGTCGAGCTGGGCCTGGATGTCGGCGGCGGTGCCGGCGTTGGTGAGGTCGCCGGCGTGGATGAGCAGGTCGCCGGGCGGGATGGCGACGTCGGTGCGGTCGTGGGTGTCGGAGAGGCAGACGACGCGGATGGCGGGCTTGTCGCGGGGCGGGGCGAAGGGGCGGCCGCGGAGGAAGAGGATGATTGTGTAGAGGATCGTGACGATGAAGTGAAGCGGTGAGATGAGGAGGGAGTCGAGGAGCGTCGGGGGTTCCCAGGCGTTCTTGCGGCGGAGGCCGAGGGCTGTGAGGAGAGTCATTGGAGGAGGAGATGGTGGTGTTCAAGGGCTGGCCGTCCGTCGGTTTCCCTTTTCCGCGGGGTATCGAATGGAGGGCGCCGGGGTTATACGACTTCCATGTGAGCTGCTGTGAGAGGTTAGTGAGACAGCGATGTGAATTGAGGTGAGATGCGGCACGGTGAGATGAGGTGTTGTTGGTGTTGGTTGGCTGGCTCGAGACAGCGGGATGGATCTTCACATGGGGGCAGAGGGAGCTCCAAGCAGCTGCCCCGAGCTGAAACCCCACCGATGACAGCACCAGCACCGGAGTGAGTGCACCTCCTGCACCGGCCAGCACTTGTGCAATCCAATGATACTCTACGGCGGGTGGGGGGGTCAGAACCACTGCGAGGTGGGCCGGCCGGCAGCTGGCACGGCGGTGGTTCAGCTACGCTGGGGGAGTGGGAGGGGAGAGGCCGGGGCAGCACGAGCCACGCACCACCACTACGACGTCTGCCACCACCGCTACGCCAAACCTGGACTGGCGCTGCCGTTTCACTGGGAAATGGACGGGGATCGACTGGAGGAGGCATTGAGGGGCTGGAGCTTGTTCCCTGGAAAAGCTCCCGTTCAGGTCGGGGCCCTGCGCGGTGACGTGACGGTTCCCTCAATCCCGCCAGCGCCCAAGCTCCTCTTTCTCTGTCACTCTCTTTTCCGGTCCGTTCATCTAAAAAACCTGCCAGGCGAGACATCACCGTCATTACTTTAGCCACTGGGCTGCATTCTCGCACTTAGCTTTAAGAGCATCGCGACCCCTACCACCTGTCATCGTGACCCCGTCTTGCCCCGTCACCATTGAGCATTTGGATAGCTCCCCTATCTTGTCTCAAAATTGCATCCCATCTCTACGAATACGCGATATCCAAACCTCCTAGAACCTGCGCCTGAACGCACACTCAACATCCGTGCCCGAGCTCCCGACGACCAATCTTTTTTTGGGACGAACTCGCGGCCCGCAGCAGCCATGGCGAGCCTTCGCGACCTTTACAGCGACGAGAAGACCAAGGGTCTGGACAACAATTTTGGCGTCGACTATGTCATCAACTACAGGATTCCGCAAAAGGGTGAGCCCCCTTTTGTCTCTGCATCTTAATAATACCAAAGCTGACCCAACACTTGCTCAGACCGTGCCGATGCCGAAGCTTCTTTCGTCCAACTCATCGAGGCTCTGACCCATGTTGGTCTGACCACCGAGGTTCGGAGAGGCGATAAGAGCTCCGTCCTCGTCTTCATCAAGATCGCCGATACATTCCTCGCCGACCAGGTCTACCGATCCAGACTCCAAGACTGGCTACAAGGTGCCCGAACAAACACCGCAGACAAGGACCTCTCTCAGGCTCTCCGTGATGAGCCTGTCTCCGACGCCGAGCGCCTGCGCCTGGTCTACCTGCTCATGGTGAAGCCCAAGAATGAGGGCGGAGCCGGCATCACCCCCGAGTCTGGCAAGTGGAAGCACGTCGCCAGTATCTTCCCCCTCCACAACCACGCATTCAACAGGCAGTGGATCAAGAGGGTGAGCACCAAGGGACAGACAGACGAGAACGACCTCGACGAGATCCGCGACAAGTTCGGCGAGAGCGTCGCCTTCTACTTTGCCTTCATGCAGACCTACTTCAAATTCCTCGTCGTCCCGGCCGCCGCCGGCTTCGGCGCCTGGATGCTCCTTGGCCAGTTCTCCTGGCTCTACGCTCTGGTCAGTTGCCTGTGGTCCGTCATCTTCTTCGAGTTCTGGAAGAAGAGGGAAGTCGATCTCGCGGTGCAGTGGGGCGTCCGCGGCGTCTCCAACATCCAGCACCCCCGGCCGCAGTTCGAGTTCGAGCGCCAGGCCGAGGATCCCATCACCGGAGAGCCCGTCAAGATTTACTCGCCCATCAAGCGTTTGCAGACGCAGCTTCTCCAGATCCCGTTCGCGGCCGCTTGCATTGTGGTGCTGGGCACGCTCATAGTGACTTGCAACTCGCTGGAAATCTTCATCAACGAGGTGTACAACGGGCCTTTCCAATCCTACTTAGTGAGTGACACGGCGCTGTTGTCTTGGTGATATGCTCACGTGGATATCCAGGCGTTCCTCCCGACCGTCATTCTGGTTGTCATGACGCCCACCTTCTCTACCGTACTCACCAAATTCGCGACGAGACTCACCGAGATGGAAAACTATGAAACGATTGACGGTGAGCATCTCAGACGAACCCCTCAAATCCCCTCGCTGACGGTATCTAGCACACCATGCGGCTTTGGTTCAAAAGGAGTTCGTTCTCAACTTCCTGACCTCCTACATGGCCTTGTTCTTCACCACTTTTGTCTACCTACCCTTTGGCGACCACCTCACTCCTTACCTGGATTTCTGGCGCGCTACTGCGCAGAAGATCGCTCCCAAGGACACCAACTTCCAGACTCAAGAGTTCTCCATCAACCCTGAGCGAATCAGCAAGCAGATGTTCTACTTCACCGTCACCGCCCAGGTCGTCAACTTCGCCACTGAGGTCATTGTGCCGTACGTCAAGCGCCAGGTGTTCCAGGAGGTAAGAGAGGTGCAGTCCAAGATTTCCAAGGAGGACAGCGCTGCCAAGATCAAGGACCAACCGGAAGAAGCCGCCTTCTTGGAGCGTGTGAGGAACGAGGCCGAGCTCGAGACGTACGATGTCACCGGGGACTACCGGGAGATGATTATCCAGTTCGGGTACCTCTCGCTCTTCTCCGTGGCCTGGCCGTTGACAGCTTGCTGCTTCCTCGTCAACAACTGGGTCGAGATGAGATCAGATGCTGTCAAGATTGCCATCAGCAGCAGGCGGCCGATTCCGTGGCGCGCCGACTCGATCGGACCCTGGCTCAACGCCCTTGGGTTTCTCTCTTGGCTGGGCAGCATCACCAGCGCGTCGATCGTGTTCCTGTGCAGATCTGCTGGCAAGGGCGATGGACCTGGCGGCACCGCCGGAAGCTTTCAGGCATGGGGTCTCCTCCTCAGCATCCTCCTCTCGGAGCACTTTTACTTTGGTGCGCAGTTCGTCGTTCGTCTCGTCATGAAGAAGCTGGATAGCCCGGGCTTGCAGAGGGAGAAGAAGGAACGGTTCATGATGAAGAAGAGACTGCTCGAGGAGAACCTGGGCCAAGGCGTTTCGGATCAAGCCGCGACTCCGGGTATCGAGAAGACGGAGATGATCACAATGCAGGCTTTGGAGGATGAAGCCCGCAGGATCTCGACGCAAGGCCACGGAGGCGCCGAGGAAGCGTAAGTCGATGTTCTAGTCCTCGATGCTATGGTCTTTTTGGCTGACGATGTGACAGATTCTGGCTTCGCCAACGCGGTATGGCCGAGACTATTCAGATTGGCCGCAACCTGATCTCTCAGGTAAGTCGTAGTACCCCTTGAGTTGCAGTCACCTTCTGACAAATTGATTTGTTAGAGCATCTCCGGAAACACGACCAAAGCGTAGGGAGTCTTCATCGGCAGTCGTTATAGACGGAACTGATCGAGACGAGAGAGAGTATTGACAGAACCCTCTTCGTTGACGAAAATAGGAGTTACACTTGTTCTGGTGTGTATTGCTAGCGAATATGCTTAGTCGGGGTTTCGAAAAACTGCGGGTTAATCTTTTGCTGCTTCCAAACGGGGCGTTGGTTTCGGTCAAAATTCAAGTTAGGCAACCGTTTCGAGTCTTTAGTTATATTCGGTGAAGAAGCTAGGAAACCACTAGGTACCTAGAGCAAACGTGAGTGATGTGGCCGTCGGTGGCCGCAAGTGGCGACCGACGGGTGAGTCGAGAGATAGGGTACGGATACCGTATGCAATTTACGCAGCAATACCTCACAATGAATGGGCAGATGACTACTTAAAACCACTGCGCACCGGGCGAGGCAGACCAGGAGGCTTAAACAGCCGGGCGTATTTTTGTGCAATGTTGTAAATGCTTGTTGGAACCTCTCTTACTTTAACGGGTTACTTTGATGGGTTTAATATTGGACTGCGCCTCTGCGCTAGCCGTGCTGGACCTCGTGGCTGCAGCGTTCATCTGATGAGCCTGCCTTACCTTGAGGTAAGTACCTACCTTACTTGCTGTAAGGTAGGTAGGTAATTCAGTATCAGTACCTTTGTAGGGTAGGCCAGACGATACGTACCGACATGCTGGACCTAACCGCCCCGTCCTCGAGCGTCCCTTGTTCCTCAATAATTACCAGCAAACTCGCGCCCACGATGTTCATTCCTTTCGCTTGAGAAGACCAATCGCGGAGCCTGCTTCAGGAATGTGCCACGCCGATGAAGCCAAACGGGTCTGCCTAGGAGTCCGAAGCCTGGGTACATACTCCTCGGGCCCAAAACGCCTTCCCCTCCCCGCTGGAACATGTTCACCCGTCTGTTTGTCCTCTTTCCATCGCCTGCCATGCCGATCCCGTCGCCAGACTAGCCTGATACCGGGGCGAGGTGGTTCGCACCTGCATTCGCTTGCAAAGGTGGGCGCAACGCACCGCCTTGCCGGCTTGTCGAGAACTGGAAGTGCGGCGCCATTCCGAGAAGCCACGCCCGTTGGCTCTGTCGAGTGACAGATCATAGATGTCCTTCGTGTCTCGGGAGAAGCCAGTCTGACATGCGGCGCGCCCTGCATCTGCCTACCTTGCCCGCCCATCCCATCCCATCCCGTCCCGTCCTATCCTGTGCCATGTCCATCTATCCTGCGGCCTGGAGCTGGCCCTGTTTTGTGACTCTGGGAGAGAGCCGAATCATTGACTGCTCAGCTCAGCTTAGTAGCTTTCCAACAGCCTCATCCTGACCTGCCGTCCTTGCATTTCATCTTTCTCACTCCTTCTCTCTCTCTCTTTCTATCTCTCTATCTCTCTCTTCATTTCCCGCCAAGCTCTCTACACTGAAAGTCTGTGAATGGCAATCACCAAACTCTAGCGATTGCGCAAGTTCAGATTCAAACTTGCTATTCGGATGACCCTCTGTCAGCTTGTCGCGCTGGCCTAGCCCGTCGTGTAACTGACCGCTCCACCTACCCCGCCGAGAAACAAGACGAATACCCCGTAGACGTACGGCCCGCCGACCATGGACGTCGTGGAGGACTTGGTGACCGGGCCCTTCAAGGAGGTCGTGGAGAAGGGGACCATCGCGCTCGGAAACGCAAACGACGACCGGGACATGCTCTCCGAGAGCCAGAAGCTGGTCAAGGGCGCCGAGCGCATCCTCAAGATCATTGAGCCGCTGTGCTTGCGCCACCTGGAGGAGTACGGCGTCAACTTTATAGATGCGCTCAAGGACGACAGTATGCAGTTTCCGTACTTTTCCCCATTCATCCAGTGACATTGTTGACTGACCTTTTTTTCCCTTTTTAGACGAGATTGCCGAGTACAGATCACAGATGACTGACATGATATGGGATTTTGACGACGTAATCGATGCCGAAACGTTTGAAAAGGAAAAGTACGCCGAGCTGCGGGAGCTCTGTAAGAAGGCCGGCCTCCGGACCGGAGAGATCCTGAAGAGGATGAAGCTGGAGCCGGCCCCGCGAGAGCAACCTCTCATCCCGATCATCGCGACGTCGCCACCGGCTACGCACGGTAAATAAAGCATTGCCTATAATTCGAACAGGAGAAAGAAAAAATGCAGCTGACCAAAGATTCCTCGACGACAGAGACACAGGACCAAGGCCACGCAAGTCTAACCACACCCCAAGAGGGACACAATTTCCAGATAGAGCCGCAGGAAGAACAACACCCACCCGAGCCAGAATCAAAAGTCAGGGAAGAGGTCCTCGAGCCACCGCCTCCTCCCCCGACGAACCCGTGGGATCTGAGAGCAAGCCCCGTCATCGAAACGGGGATGGAGATGCCCATGAGCGAGATCAACATTGAGCGCCGACCCCCCATCTCTTCCATGAGCTCTCCCACGTCGGATCCGGGCAGTCCGAAAGACATGAACAGACTCTCGCACAGCTCGAATCATCGATTAGACATTCCCACCGACCGCGTCCTGTCGGAAGAGGACCGGTACCACCAGATGAGCCCGCAGGACCTCACGAGGTCCCCGGTTTTGATGACGGACAGGAACCACCCCATCGTCTCGCGCGGACGAGCGTCGTCCACCACACTGGGCATCGTCACGGAAGACCAGACACAGACGCCGCGGAACGGGAACGGGAACGGGAACGGTGGTCACTCCCCGCGGCCCCACCGGCGCTCACAAGCCAGTTCCATGTACTCGCACGCCTCACGGCAGCGCTCCCAAGAGTCCCTGCACGACTCCGTCTTTGACGGCGGCGGGGGCAGGAGGAACTCAGGCGCAATCAGCCCCTCCATGACGGAGCACCGCGCCTCCACCTCCTCGGCCCATGACGGACGGCTCAGCCCAACGCCGAAGGCGGCGCCGCCACCCATCATACCGCCTAACTTCCCACCCGGCGTCCACGAGGGTATCGAGAGGGTGCCGCTGGCCGTGAGCGACGGCGAAGGCCTGATACCGGTAGAGTCGGAGTCGTCTTCTTCGCAGAACAGGGAGCCGCCTTTCATGGTCTCGTCCCGGCCAAAGGATTGCAATATCGGGTTGAGCAGCTCATTTTACTTGTACAAGGGGTTCTGTGAGGGCGCGAAAGAAGTCACCCGTGGTGGTCTCGGGGTCAAAAAGATCAAGAAACCAGTGAGTCGCCAGTGTTCAAGTCTCATTTTTTTGTATCGAACTTAGACTAAATATGAGTGAAAGGGATTCTCTGGCGCCCACGAGGTCGCCAAGTGTTCGAGCTGCTCTTACGAGCTCGACTTCAAACAGGTCGAAAACGATATCAACAAATCTGGTACGTACTTCACTAGTTTTACTTTGATTTGGATCAAGCGTACTGATACAATATACGTCGGAAAACAGAGGATGCAAATCACCAATCCAACAAAATCTCGTACCGCCCGCGCTTCCTCCAAAAGAGCCACGTTGCCACGAAACGCGCCGACGAGTTCCTCTACGGCTGCGTCTTTTGCGTCCACATCCAACACACCCTCGAAGAGTGCGACGCGACAGTCTTCTTCAGCCAGAAGAAGCTCTTCGAGCACCTCGCTCGGCACCCGCGACCGCTCCCCCAGGTCCCCGGCATCACCGTGGTAGAGACGACGGAGACCACCGGCGGTGGTGAGGTGCCTCTGCAACTGCGCAACAACTATGACCTGCACTTCCGCGCGCCCCCGCGCCCCAGCCGCCTTGAGGGCCGACAGCTCGAGCTCGCGCAGCTGCCGACGGCGACGGCGACGCAGACGGTCAAGAGGATGTACGGTATGCGGCTGCTGTACGATAATACCCCCGGCTTCGAGCTGGCAAACGGCGCGCGGCTGTGCGGCGTCGAGTTCCCGGCCAAGTACAACGGGGAGTGGGTCATGGGGTGGCACGAGGGCAACTTTGGGTCCGCGCCGCTGGATGTGCTGAAGCTGGAGCCGCCGCCGAAGGGTGAGATACGCGCGGACACGGCGAGTAATATCTCGGCCGTGGCGCGGTGGAAGTTTGCGCCCCGGGCCAAGGATGGAGGCGATTGGTTGAAGTTTGATCAGGGGGAAAGGATCACCAATATCAGCTGTGAGTTTTTATTACTTTTTCTCGTTGCCACCCCCCGCCCCCTTTTTTGGGGGGGCAGACGTTATCATGGACTGTAGAGTGTTTCTCAGTTTGGCTGACACATGAGTGCGAAAATCCAGGGGCGTGGCAAGATCACTGGTGCTGGTCCGGCACCAACGCCAAGGGCGTATGGGGTATCTTCCCGCAGACCTTTATCGATGGCTCCTCGATCCGCGAAGTGTCTGACCGTTCCAGCATCTCGAGCAGCGAGAGGAGAAAGTCTGGGACGGGGGGGTTCTTTGAGAGGTTCTCGTCGAGCCGTAAGGCGTCGAGGCAGCCGAGCGTCGCGCAGGTTATGGTCTCGTCGGGGCCGCGGCCTTCGGTGGTTTAAAGAGGAAAGGGGGGGGGGGGGGGGGTTCCGGTGATTAGGATGAAGGATTGGGGGATTTGGACGACGTGAAATGATTGGAGTTTTTCTTTTCTCTCTTTGAATGATGATACCTTTGACTTTAGGAGTTCTCAATACCCGGTAACGACTGAAAGACGTGCAACAATAGTCTGGCATTTGCCAGAAGACGTACTATGCTTGGTGACCTAGTTTTCCAGATGCTGTTATCAATGTTCCAGAAAAGATAAGGTGACGAGACTTTGGCGGTTCTGTCAAGGGGCTTTTCCCATACGCTCTCTCCTTAGTCTTGGACCACTCCAAGTCGATAAGCGTAGTGGTAGAAAGTATCGATTCCAATAGAGTTGAGCCAAGACGACTAAGCAGTCTCGATTGGCGATATTAAATATGATAGACTTTGAGTGAAGCGTCCTTGAGTTTTCTCCTATGTGTGGCCAAGTTAAATACCCCTTTTAATGCAGCTACTTACCGGCGAGTTGAAGGCTCCGGGGTTCGCGACTCGAAGCTCAAGCTCGATCATCCCCACCATTGCGCGCTCAGAAGTACGTCTTGACAGCTTCTGCGAGAATATTGTATATCTAAGTCTGGCTCAAAACTTTGTTGCCAGGCTTCAAAGCGGCGGGCGTAACTTTCAAGTTTTCGCCCACGGCACATTCTCTTTGGTCCTGGCTAAGAATGACCCTTCTTGGTACCACTCACTTCTTGAAGAATACATACCTTGGCGAAATGCAAGATACGATTGTAAGCAACGCAAACATGAAGACTAAGTTTGTACGAAAAAGTATGGAACTATAGCCTCATTGTTCCCTGGACGACACGGACGCCGAATCGTATACAGGGTTTTTTCATCTTCAAAGTCTAATGTATAGACTCGATCCAACACCTGAGTAATGTGAATCGAGAAAGACATGGTCTGCCTGCTTTCAACACGTTCCATCGATTTGGAGCATTTTAACTGAAATAGCAGATACGAAGCTAGGATAGCCAACGCAATCCCGGTTCCTCTGCGCAACCAGATTAGGCGCAAGGAATATTCTCTAAGCGGCAGCGTTTAGTCCTATGTCTACGTCCAGGACGACTAAGCGTCGGTTCTAGGATAGCCACTATTTCTTCACGTCCCCCCTCGAGTTATAGTCCAGCGCATACTTTCTCTTTCCGACTTCAGTTAATTAGACTCTCATGACGGGCAACTCTAAGCAAAGAGGTCTTTCTATCTTTTACACGACGTCCCTGGTTTATTCCGAGATCAATATACTACTAAGGAAGAGACTTGTTAGAGAGAAATCAGTGTCTTTAGGTTTAGAAAATCAGATCCCTCCACTCGGAACGCATGGTTGAACAACTCATGGTTGGATTACAGAACTTTCTTCAGCGCAACAATCCAGACTAGAAAACAAATAACACGACCCCAAGGCTCTGGCAACGTTATAGCATTGAGCTTACGACGCAAATATCACCACAACCATGACATCTCCCAGGGATGCTCGAGTTCCTGGCTTTCAGCAAACTTCCGAGCAAAACGTAGGAATCCTTGGAAGGGGACGGTGTTGATATGTATCTTGCGCGGATTCCATGTGAGCCAAAAATCAGTTGGTGACAAAAGGAGCACGGCGAGTTAGCTAGCAAACTATGGGGCAAACTAGACAGGCGATCCGCGATTTGATACCAGGAACTACCCGCACCAATCCAAGCGCACGACGATGAAGATCGACTGCTCCAGATTGAAGTCTGCCCCGCCGCGTGGCTGATAAGGCAGCATCAAAGCTCCTTCCGAGGGTGAACAAATCGGTGAATTTGTTGCTCGGTCCAAGCGAGTTGGTGTCTCTGCCCTGGTGATGAGGCACTTGAATGGACATCCAAGTTGTATCCGGACTTGTCGGGCAGCACGGTTCAAGGATCATACCGCAAAGCTTAGGGCGCTTCTGGTCGGAGGTTAACCCCATGTCGAATTCATTTCTAAATTTGGGCGGAAGATGTTGTAGCTACAACAGATTCCGCTATTGTTGTACGCGTCAAACGAGCTCTTCCAATGACCGTCTCACTGTTTCGGATTATGAAAAGAGGCAAAGTCCTGACGAGGCGGGACTCTCGTCGGCATCCCGGAGACCTGGAGGGGCCATCCATCCATGTGGTAATTGGATCTTAGCCTACAGTCACAATGACGGTTCATCTAGAGCCTACGACTACTTATGCGAATTATTCCCACTGTCTCTGTCCTGGAATTCTGGATTCCGGGTCCGTAGTGTTCATGGCGCCTGCAAGCTAGTGAACACGAGTTTTCAAAGATAGTAGCCCTCACGATAGTTCCGTTAGCGGTCAAATTTCTGACATGGTCAAAACTTCTTTTTCCGGGATTGAATTCCCATCCTCGGCAGTCCATCGATCGCTCGACGGCAATATGGCCCAACTTCATAGACGATTCTCAGGAAACCCAATATCATGGAAGGTTTGAAGTGGTGCGGGAGCATGGCGCAGCCTCCATTGCTCGCGGCGACCGGCGTGACGTCTAACCCCCACCTCAGCGGTCGGGGGTCCGGCTCCATGCCGCCGGTACGAAGTCAAAGTCCGAATATTATGCATTGGAGATTTGCACTTGTGATGGAGCGGGTACGAAATTCATGTTCACGTGCATCCGTCCTATCCGTGGCATTGCCCTTGATTTTTTGAGTTAAGGAATATAGTGGCCAAGCAAGGAGACAGGCAGTTGGAGGCTTGGAGTGATTGATCGGTTGAAGGAAGGAGAGAATACGAGTCATAAAGTTTTTGATGCAATCAAAAAGACATTGCACTGTGCGTTCAAGGGGAGCCGGGGGCCTCCACGATCTCTTGGCCGTCGTCCTAAGACGGTTTAGGGGTGTCCTCAACCGGCAGGGGTGGGAACGCCAAGTTGGGCGAGATCGACACAATGTATTCCTCGTTTCAGAATCCGGGCGACGAGGCTCTTTCTTCCTTCCTTTCTCCAACAATAGGTACCGGATTCCGGCGTGTCTGCGTCGATACAATTAAGTTTACGCTATAACTTCGGAGAGATTTTTCCTTCATTTTTTTTTCCTACTATGTAGGTAACTCACCTTACGGATACAGCAAATTGGGCTTGCCTGGCGGCGAGTCTACCTGGCGACTACCTTCCACATCGGGTGAACGGCTTTCTGTTTTGTTCTCTGCCGACTTTGTGTACCATGTTCCGACACAGATTACCGGCGGCTAGCCGTTGTAGCGCTGTGCCGGTCTTGCAAAGTTGCAGTGCCAGTACCGATCACCACCCAAACACTCCTCAGGCACATATCGTGTTTTCATCGCTATCGAGTTCCCAGACGATCCATATAGTTCGATCTGTTGCCCTGTTATATTTCGCCCTACGCTGATCGCCCACAAGCTACTCTTATGCGAAGACACAAATTCCCACCACCTGGACGTCGGGAAATATGTGGCGCTATCCGTACGAGCAAACGCAGCAGCAAAAGTAATCAAATCGTTCCCGATGAACGTGGGCAGCAACCACGAGTCCAAGGCGTACGTGCCACCAACGATGACGACGATCATGGTCGCCATCTACCCGCCTGTCATCGCTAAAATTTTCGGTCTTCTCCGTTCATCTACACAGTACGGACTGGTCTTGGCCGTGGAGGAGGGCCTCTCTTGCCTGCAAGGGTCATGGCAGGGTGACCCAACATCAATACGAACGACATTGACAGGATGATGCTTACAAGTTGCACAGTTGTCTACTATGTACGTCAAGAACGGCCAAAGTATGGGTGTTTTCAGAACATCAGACGACGGGTAACCTTATTTGACAGCTTTCTTGCCGGAAACACGGATAAGGTTGACAAGCATGAATGGTCCGACGAAAATCTCCCTATCCTACCCTCAAAGCTCGAGGCAGTGTTCGTCGATTCCTTATGCAGGCCACGGCGAGAGCCCGAGGGAGATCCCAGCAACCGCCAGTAAAGGAGCTCTCTGCGGGTCCGTGCAAGGGCAAATCAAAGGGGGAAAGGCTCGAGGATTCAGGTTGGCCGCCGTCGTCGTCGTAGTGCTTGGCCGGCAGGCTCCAGCCGTCTTATTGTTCGGCAGCGGCGGGAGGATGAACCAGAACAACATGGCGAGCCTGATGGCCGAGCGGCTTTCTCCACAGAGTTTCTGGCTGTTTCCCACATCACGGACTTTTCCTGCTTGGACCTCCACCCGGCCCCAAGGCCAGCGCCTGGCTTTAGCCTTTAGCATCTGGGCATGGTTTCCACGCAGGACGACTCCCCGGCAGAATCTATCGGGCCACTGCACCTGTGGGATGGCGCAGCCTAGCTTGGGGCTCCAGAGTTTCCACATTTTGGAAGATGGATTTCTCTTGGAGCTTCCTCTCCTTTGAGGAAGTGCCGTGATGGAGCTATGATGCACGATGTGCCCGGCTAGGCAGTTGTGTATATACATACCGCCGACTTTCTTCCTCTCGTCTGTCCATCCGAAGCTCCTCTTGCTTAATGCCGCTCTCATCGACAGACCCCCACGGGCAGCCTCTCGTTCCTTTCCTTACTCTTTGTGTTATTCTTTCCTATAGACACAAGTCTTTTGTTGCTTAGACGTGTCTAATAACTACCCTCACTCATACATACACAAACACAATACAACCTCGACTTCACTGAGATACTACATTCTCTATTACACGAGCAGTTTAGCTATAGAAACACCATCACTTCAACATGGTTCGTTCAACCGCATACAAGGCCATCGCGGCCGCCTCTTTCTTTTCACGGCTCTCCTCCGCGGCGATCACGGCATGCCCAAACAATGAAGCCGAGTGGAAGTCGCCCATTGGCGTCAAGTACACCGTCTGCCCTGGTTCCGACTACCAGCTCGGTGGCGTTAGTCTCCAATACGTCCGAAATATCCAGACTACGGTCGAGTGCGTTCAGATCTGCGACAAGGATGCCCGTTGCAGCAAAGCCGTCTACGACAAGCAGCTCAAAGTTTGCCAGGTCAAGGACAGCAAGAACGAGATGAACTGGGTCGCCGACGACCGCTTCGACGCCATACGCATGACAAACGACTTCGCCGAGGGCACATTCCTCGCCACCTGCCCCTTCGAAGAGGAGAGCTACCACGTTCCCAACGGCAAAATCGACTACCGCGTCTGCCGCAACACCGACTACACCGGCAAAAGCGCCAAGATTGTCCAAGCTGTGACCACCATTCAAGCCTGCGCAGAGCTCTGCTCAAACACTCAGAACTGCAAGAAGGCCGTCTTTGATAACATCAACAACGTCTGCCACATCAAGGCCGCCGAGCCTGAGACGTCTCTCTTCTGGGTTCAGAACAAGCAATTCGACACCATCCACGTCCCTGAGAACATCAACCCGGCTGTTCAAGGCAAGTGGGGCGATCTCATCCGCCTGCCCGTGATTCCCGTTGCGGCTTTCATTGTCCCATCCTACCCCGAGCCCAGCAGACTGCTGTTCTTCTCCTCGTGGGGTGTCGACGCCTTTGGCGGTGCTTCCGGCATGACCCAGTACGGCGACTACAACTTCGCTACTGGCAAGATCTCTGAGCGCGCCGTCACCAACACCCACCACGACATGTTTTGTCCCGGCATCACCCAGCTTCAGGATGGCCGCATCGTCATCCAGGGCGGCTCTGACGCCGACGCCGTCAGCATCTACGACCCGGCCACCAACGGCTTCACCCGTGGCCCCGACCTGAAGGTCGCTCGCGGCTACCAGACCGCCACCCTCCTCTCCAGCGGCAAGATCTTCACCATCGGCGGGGCGTACTCCGGCAAGCGCGAGGGCAAGAACGGCGAGGTGTACGATCCCGTCGCCAACGAGTGGACCTACCTCCCTGGCGCCGACGTCACCCCGATCCTGACCAACGACCACGAGGGTATCTGGCGCGAGGACAACCACGCTTGGCTCTTTGGATGGAAGAAAAACAGCATCTTCCAGGCCGGTCCGAGCAAGGACCAGCATTGGTTCGGCATCGAGGGCACCGGCTCCGTCAAAAAGGCCGGCACCCGCGACAACGACGACGCCATGTGCGGCACCTGGGTCATGTACGACGCCGTCGCCGGCAAGATCCTCTCGGCCGGCGGCAGCCCGGACTACACGGACAGCGTCGCCACCGTGCACGCTCACATCACTACCATTGGGGAGCCGGGAACCCCTTCGGAAGTCGAGCGTGTGGCGGACATGGCCTTTCCCCGCGGCTTCGCCAACGCCGTGGTCCTCCCCGACGGTCAGGTCCTCGTCACGGGCGGCCAGCGCAAGTCTTTGGTTTTCACCAACACGGACGGCATCCTCATCGCCGAGCTCTTCAACCCGGAGACCAAGGAGTGGAAGCAGATGGCGCCCATGGCCGTGCCGCGCAACTACCACTCCGTCTCCATCCTTATGCCCGACGCCACCGTCTTCACCGGTGGCGGCGGCTTGTGCTACGTCCAGAAGATCTTCGGATCGACCGCCGGCTGCGACAAGACGGTCGACCACGCCGACGGCGAGATCTTTGAGCCGCCTTACCTGTATAACGCCGACGGCAGCAAGGCCACGCGGCCCGTCATCTCTGCCATTGGCGAGGAGGCCGTCAAGGCTGGCGCAACGATCAAGTTTTCCGTCGAGGGCGTCGAGGCGGGCGGCAAGGGCTGCAAGGTTTCGCTCATCCGCACCGGTAGCGTCACGCACTCTTCCAACACGGACCAGCGCCGCATCCCCCTCGACAACGTGCAGGTCGACGGCCAGGCGTTCTCTGCCAAGCTGCCCGAGGACTATGGCATCTTGCTTCCCGGGTTCTACTACCTGTTTGTGTCTAATGCGCAGGGTACGCCCAGCATTGCGAAGACGGTGCACGTTGTCTTGTAAAAAGAAGTCAATAAAGCAATCTGATATTTTAATGGCGTGTGGGAAGCGGGACAGAGGGAAAACAAAAGCAATGATGAGATATTGGATTACACTTAATTAGAGACTGGCCCAAACAGAAGAGTCATGTTGCGCCAGTCTTCGTATCCCTGGATGGCGGCAATGTCGTCTATGTCGTCTACATCGGGAGCGGGTTCTTCGGCATAAATGGTCTTATTTAAGGAATATATCTCGTATGCGCGAGCTAGGTCGAGATTAACTATAAACTTTTCTTCCTCGTTAAGCTTACCCGCGGCAAATTGCTAAAATTCTTCGTAAAGATCATAAGAACTAACCTCAAGGAATTCCGTAAAGTCCTTTACAAGGAGCTCAGGATTAATACTCTCGAGGGTATAAGATAAGTCTTTCGCAAGCTTATCGGGAAAGCCTTACTACCACTTCATATAGCGGATGAGGGCGCGGGTCGTCTCATTATCCACGGGGTCGGTAGCAGGGATCTTGAACTTGGCGAGGCGTTGTGCCACTACCTTTGTCAGATTTACGCTTCCCTGCATGGCCGTGACAACTTTGTCGTGGGCCATGACAGTTCTCTTGGCCATCTCCTCTTTGGAAAAATAATGTTTCATACGAAATAGTCCGAGTAAAATGTTTGATGATTAGTGAGGTCGCACTTGTTTGTCCTGCTCAAGGTGATGCTCAACCACCACCTGTTACCTAAGGTACTCATTGACGGCTACTATATTATTAATAAAAAATAACGCAAACTACGAGAAGCTACCTAACTAAGTAGAGTACGTTTACGAAATTTTAAATGATTTTCTATTATCAACTTACCTAATTAATCGCTGTGATCTCACTCGAGCTGAATTTAAAGCCTCAAAAGTCACTGTGCGTGTACCAGGCAGCCCACCGGGTCATATGCCGTGCCCTACCTTACGCCGACAATCATCACACTTCGGGTTGTCTTCGGTAAAGAATGAAGGGGCCATGGACAACTTCTTCAGCATCCAACGTCGCTTTCGCTGCGGAAGCAGTGGGGGAACTGCTCTTCTTCGCATGCCAGTACACCTGGATGCACGTATTTTCAGTTGTTGAGCTGTACCTAGACTGTAGCCCATCGAAAGTTATGAGTTGTCCTGGCCTTGGCTTACACCCACGACCATTCCGCGCCGATGAAA